CAGTTGTTTGTGACGACACGACTATGGGGCAGCGAGCCTTGAAGAACGAAAGCCGGGGGAGAATTATGGCACTCCGCCACAGCACCACCCGAGGCTCGAAACCGCGACCCTTTGATCAGAAGTCGAACGCTCTAACCATTGAGCTATGGGCTCGTTTCCTTGTCAGCGAGAAACTGCAATCGCAGCTTCTGCTTGAATATCCACTGATTTCACTCCTTCTCCTCCTCCTTTTTGAAAGCAACTGGTGGTTGTCACCCTTTGACCCTACCTCAAGCCCGGTTGGTGGCTTTGGGGATTCAGGGGGTCCAGATTTCCGGTCTTCAGGTGAATAAACCAGACATCACAATTCCCGTACCTACTACCTCTCTTAGTTGGTGTTAGGCCTTGACCAAATGGTGCCAAGAAGAGAATTGGAAATAGGGCCATTCCAGTTTCCCATGCTATAACCCTGCTTGCCTCTCCTTTAGCCAGCATTGCCGACTGAACTCCCCGTCATTCAACCTCTTCTCACACAAGACTGCCCTGCCAAAAGACGTCGTGCCGGCAGGTGTGACCCTGGAGGACCTGGGTATCCTCGGCGGTCAGCGACTGGCCCCCGAAGAATTCACCGTCTACTATCAACCCCTGGCCGTCTTCAGCCCCCGTCCACCGCCGCACACAGTCGCCTCGCTGACCTTCTCACAGCTCATCTGGGTGGATGAATTCGAGCAGGTTTCTACGTCCACCAGGAAGGAGGTTCAACAGCAACCGCAGCAGCAAGAGCAGGGGAGACCGGTCGCGTCTGCGGCTACGACGGTAGCGGCAGCACCCGAAGCAAGCAGGCCGGTGCATGCAGAGGAGCTGGATGTGGTAGATAAAGATGATGAAGATGAGATCTTAGCCGAATCGCTGGACGAATTTCTAACAGTGGAACGCGTACGTTAGGCGCTAACTTCGTCGCCCAATTTTGCAGTTAAAGTAGTATTAGTAGTAGTGGTAATGGTATTAGTAATGGTATTAGTGGTATTAATAGTAGTAGCATTATTAGTAGTAGTAT